CAACTCTTAAAAGAAGGTTCAAAAAAGCAAACTTATTTTCAAGAATGTAATCTGTCCCCTTCCAAAATTTAGCTACCCACCAAGATGTGTCGCATGGCTGATAGCTCAACGCTTTGGAGCCTGGCTTTTTGCAGGGGTTCAAAATTGGACTTACATAAGCCTTAGCAGAATCCAGATCCAATCGCCATTCCCTCCCCCTCCCCCCACCTCCACCTCTGCCCTCTCACCTCCATAATGATGGTGTTAGTGAAGATGCTTCGGTCATAAACCCATCCGTCCTTGCACGGTTCGGTCGCAGTGCCTGTGCCGTTGCCCCCAACTTCGGCGCTGGCATTCAGTGGAGGCCACTCGGTGGCCACAAAGCGGAGGCATTTCTCAGGTTGCCCGCTGGCATCTTTGGGAATCCCCCAGAGATCTTCCTCCCCAGTTGGCATTTGAGTCCAGTTGGTAGGGGCATCAGTGCCGTTGTACGCTAGCCTGACCCGGCAATGGTGATCGGGTATCCCGGCTGAGAAATTCTGGAGCAGGTTATGGCTGGCTGTTAATAAAATCGGGGTCACCAACAAAGTGACTTGGAGGATCTGGAAGCGGCCCATGCCGCCGATCTGGTCCAGGAGCTCAGCGAATGTCATGGCGGAAACGGAGCCTTTTGGAAAGCCAGAATGAGGATTTCCAGTTAGGAATTCACCGGCGTTCCGGGCCAGATTCTCTGGAAATCATGCCAGCCCCATCCAGCCTTTCTCTGGCACTGGAGAAAAAAGCAACAACAACAACAACTTTCCTCTTCTGAATTCAGGCTCAGCATCTTGAAAAAGTTATTCCCAGGCTCGCTTGGCGGCCAGTGAAAACATTGCTGGAGGGGACCAGGCGGGCGGAGGGATTAAAAGCACACCGAGGCCATGGTGGCGACCTGGGGTTGCAAAGTTGGAGCCGGGCACCCCCGGCCAAGGCGGACTTCGTCCTTCCTCTCTTAAAAACCATCTGTGGTGGTGGGAGGTTTTTGAGGATGCTTCGGTGTGAACTGTGATCTTGGGGGTGCTTGCAAAAGTTTGTTGCAGGGGGCCCCTGTTTTCTCTCCTGGGGTGGGATTACGCAAGACCTAATCGCTGGGTTCAAGGTCCCAAGGTTTTTGGAAGGATTAGCCGGGGAGGCAAGGAACGGAGCGGAAAATACAGCCATTCATGAAAATGGGAGCAGGACGTGGCGTGTGTGTGTGTGTGTGTGTGTGTGTGTATTGTGTGTGTGGGGGGGGATAAATATTAGGCAGGAGGGGTGTGAGAACAGAATGAAAAGCTGGCAAGGCTGCCTTGGCTAAGAGAAATGTGATTCCCCCCCCTTTTTTTTGTGGGACTTGTCCTGAATTCACACGCTTCCTCGCAAAGAAGGAATCCAAGCAGTTGTCAACAAGCGATGAAGAAGAAAGACAATTTCTTTTCATTAAATTATTTCTCCTGCTTAATGATTCTTGACTCTTGACGAATGTCTCTTTTCTTTTATGTACACTGAGAGCATTTGCACCAAGACAAATTCCTGGTGTGTCCAATCACACTTGGCCAATAAAGAATTCTCTTCTCTTCTCTTCTCTTCTCTTCTCTCCTCTCCTCTCCTCTCCTCTCCTCTCCTCTCCTCTCCTCCTATTCCTTATTCTAGTCTATTCTTTATTCTAGTTTATTCTAGTCTATTCTTTATTCTAATTTATTCTAGTCTATTCTTTATTCTAGTTTATTCTATTCTATTCCTAAGTCTATTCTATTCTATTCTATTCTATTCTATTCTATTCCATTCCATATTTTCTATTCTATTCTATTCTATTCCATATTTTCTATTCTATTCTATTCTATTCTATTCCTTAGTCTATTCTATTCTATTCCTTATTCTATTCTATTCTATTCTATTATATTATATTCTATTCAGTGGAGGAGGGGACTATTAAAACTGCAAAAAAAAAAAATTGGGCTGGTTCTAGGGATGGGGTAAAGGGGAAGGAAACTCCCCTTCAGCCCCTGAAAGGAAACAGAGATTTTCAAAATTAGATTTTGGTCGTTAGATATTACAGCTCTTTTTTTTTTGGTGGAGGGGGGGCTGTTTTTTAAGCTGGCTCTTCTTGCTCAAACTGGTTTCTGTAGTTAGTGAACAATTAACAAGTTGCGTGGACAGACAGCCCTGAGTTATCCTGGTTAAACAATTTCCTAAGAAGGCATCATCGGATTCCCCCCCCCCCCCAAGCTTATCTGCCTGATAGGGGCTACAAAGATAATATGCGATATTCTTTATTTGTTGTTGTTTCTTGGGGAAGAGATAGGGTGGGATGGCTGGATTTCACAGCTGTTGGATCAACTCTCCAAGCCAGGAAGTGTTCTGAATCAAATTGGCAAGGCAAGGTCAGTCCTTGAATTGAAGGCAGTTCAATAGAGCCAGTTTGAGGATTTTTTTCCTTGTTGTTGTTGTTATGTGCAACACACACACACACACGCTAACTAGATGGCCAAGAGAAACCAGCAATTAAAATCAGTTTTTGTCTCCTTTGCGGAGCCCTGAATGGGCTGCCTTGAGAACTAAAGTCGAACAAAAGGGAACAATTTCCTGGCAGCAATTACAACAATGAATCAGTGGAACTGCTTACCACCAGAAGTTGTGGGTGATTCATCACTGGAGGTTTTTAAGAAGAGAGTGGACAGCCGTTTGTCTGAAATGGGAGAGGGTCTCCTGCTGAAGCAGGGGGGGTGTACTGGATGACCTCCAAGGTCCCTTCCAACTGTGTTGTTCTGTTAAACCTTTCTTTTTTTTTTGCTGAAAAACTTTAGCTGCATCAGCCGATGAATAAAGCTTCAAGGAAGTTTCATGCTTTGCAAAAAAAATAATCCACTTTTTATTTTCCCCATCATGGCTGGCTGGGGAATTCTGGGAGTTAAAGTCCATATAACTCAAAAGTTGCCAACTTTCAATACATCTCTAGCCTTTTCCCTACCGGCCACAGAGAAAGAAATAGGTGTGATTTGTTGCTTGCAGCCATGTTCTCTCTCCTTGCCACGCCTTGCCACTGAGTCCTACAATGGCTAGACTGACACCTTCTCTCGACATCTTGTTCCCTCCAAGATCGTTTTCTTGGAGGACTGAGTAGAAGAAATGGGGCATTTCTGTTTTTTGGTGTTTCCATGACATGGATGGAAACTGAAGCTCTTTGGAATTAGCCGTCGGGATCAATTACAGTAATGCTTTTTTTAATGGGTTGGACTAGAAGACCTCTGAGGTCCCTTCCAATGCTGTTATTTTGATTTTTCTGTTGAGGAAGAGTAGTTTAAAAGTCTAGTAGATTAAAAGACTGGGATATCTATTTGCAAATCAGAATAACCCAACACATTAACCTCCCCCTTTTTCCACTGACCTCGCTAAATATGGCATGGCAACTCAGTCCTTTATAATTAGTTTATTAGATAATAGGAACAGCTAATTGTTCCTTTTCTAATAGGCCTAGTAAAATTGAATGTAACATATTTGCACACATGGAGTCTTTTCCCCGAGATATCCCTCGATTTGGGTTTTTATTGCAAAGGCTGGCCCATTATTCAGCCTTGCAGATTGTGAACTTTGCACAGGTTGCTATATTTCGGTTAGATAACTACTTCCCAAGTTTTAACTGCCTTTCTTTCTTTCCCCAAAAGTTTTGCTCTGATTTATCTTTCCAAAGGAAACTTGTAAAAAGACTTGAGTTCATACAGTTGGGACTTACAACCTTGACTTAAAACCACCGTTGGGAGCAGAATTTCCACGGTTGAGCAAGGGGCGTTTTTTATGTGAGTTGTGACTGATTTTCCGTTTGTTTTTTTTAAATCATGGTCGTTAAACCAAATCACATCATGCAATTGTTAAGTGAACCTGGCTCCCTTCCCCATTGATTTGGATTGTTAGAGGCCTGCTGGAATGGTCGCAAATGAGGAGCAGCTGTCATAAATACATGTAGATTGCCAAGTACATGAATTTTTTGATCACGTGACTGTGGAGAGGCTGCAAGTCGTAAGTATGAGAAGCAATTGGATGGAAGTCTCTTTTTTTTAGTGTCATTATAAACTTCAAACAGTTGTTTAATGAATGACCGTAGGTCAAGGATTATCTGCACATGTCAATCCAGTAGAATTGGAGGTTGTCATCTCAAGATGTTGTGAGAAACAAACGGTCACTTTAAACTGAATCGTTGTCTATTTTGGGGGCATTGTGTATTACAGAACCCAATCACTTGGGTATTTTCAAATTAAAGGGTTTTTTTCGTTTCAATGTTTAATTTGGATTTATAGGTGCCATTTCCCAGCTAACTATAATTATACTGTCAGTGAGACCCAGTTTAGTCTACTAGTTAAGGCACCAGTCTAGAAACCAGGAGACAGTGAATTCTAGTCCTGCCTTAGGCATGAAAGCCGGCTGGGTAACTTTGGGCAAATCAACAGGAGACGGTGAATTCTAGGCATGGAAACTGAATGAGTGACTTCGGGCCAATCACCAGGAGGCTGGGAGTTCTAGTCCTGCCTTCGGTACAAAAGCCAGTTTGATAATTTAGGGCCAATCACCAGGAGGTGGTGAGTTCTAATCCCGCCTTAGGCATGAAAGCCATCTGGGTGACTTTGGGCCAGTCCCTCTCTCTCTGAGCCTAACCCACCTCACTGGGTTGTTGTTGTTGTGGGGAAAACAGGAGGAGAAAGCTGTGTTGGATATGCTGGCCACTTTGAGTTCTTTGTAAAAACAATGCAGGCAACAAACAAACAAACAAACAAACTTTTCTTTTTCTACTTTCGGCCTCCCCAGCAAGGAAGAGGAACCAATTGATGATATTAAAAATCCGATCAGTTGCAGACAGATTTCAAAACCCATCTCTGGGTTAATCTTGGTTGTTCACCCTTATTTGGAATTTTCTAGTTAGGAAATGCCTCCACTTGGATATGCTGTAAGAAAGCAAGATGATGTTTTGTTGTTTTTAAAAGGAGCTATTACTGAGTTTAATAACATTATCATAATGCATTGGAAATCGTGATGGCTCCTTTGGGGATGTCAGAGCAAGCTTCCGTTTTAACTCCTTCTGTGTTTCGCAGGTTTTCTGGTAGCCTGGGATCTTTTTCTGTCTCTTTGATTTCTGTCATATCCAGCAGAACTGCGCCTGGATGACAAACCTGGTCTTTTCTGCCGTTTTCTCGCTTTTCTCCCTCCGTGTTCCTAAGACAGGACAATTTTAAAAGAGGAAGAAGAATTTAAAGGCGGCGGGGGGGGGGGGGGGGGCAGTTTAAGGCATCCACTTGGCAAAGTAACACAAAATATTGAAAGGTAGTTTGTTGCAGTGGTCAAGACACTAGGCTGGAAACCAGAAGACTGTGAGTTCTAGTGCTGCCTTAGACATAAATACTGACTGGGTGACTTTAGGCCAATCACCAGGAGATGGGGAGTTCTAGTTTAACCTTAGGCATGAAAGCCAGCTGGGTGACTTAGGGCCAATCACCAGGATGTGATGAGTTCTAGTCCCACCTTAGGCAGGGTAGCTTTGGGCCAATCACCAGGAGCCAGGGAGTTCTAGTCCCGCTTTAGGCATGAAAGCCAGCTATGTCAGGGGTCTCCAACCTTGACAACTTTTAAGCCTGGCAGACTTCAACTCCCAGAGTTCCCCAGCCAACTTTGCTGGCTAGGGAATTCTGGGAGTTGAAGTCCACCAGGCTTAAAGTTGCCAAGGTTGGAGACCCCTGAGCTATGTGACTTTGGGCCAATCACCAGGAGATGGCGAGTTAAAGTCTTGCCTTAGGCACAAGGCCAGCTGGGTGACCCTGGGCCAGTCACTTGCTGTCAGCCCTAGGAAGGAGGCGATGGCAAACCACTTTTTGAAAACTCTCACCAAGAAACATTGAACTAAATCAAGGCCCAACGTTGATGGATCCTGGCTTATTAATTCAAAAACGCGCCTTTTGATTCGCTTGATGTCAACTGTCTCCTAAAACAGATCCTTCCCATTTCCCCTCCCCTCCCACCACCCTAATCTAGAAAGAATTTTCAAGAGGCAATTAAGCACCCAACAAACAAGGACCAGCGAGTCCCTATTACAACTGACCTGGTCTCCACGTCTTCTATGGTATCTGGTAGCGGCACATTTAAAGTCTCGGGCAGGAAACAGGCAGCCATCCCAGAGATGATGGGGGCCGTGGCATAGATGACAAGGGGAAGGGATGGAAGATACTCGCCGGTCATCCTCACCAGAGGGGCCACAATCCCTCCGACACGGGCCATGGTGTTTCCAAAGCCCATTCCGGTTTGCCTGATACGCAACAGAGGGAAGGATTCAGTTTTTCTTAGGCTCATCATTCACCCGGGTAGGGGCAACTCAGTTCCCTGGGTGTGGTCGATCTACAACTCCCAATATCCCTTGCACCTGGCCTGGGCACTTGGGAGTTATAGCACACAGTTAGCCCTAGGCTTACAGCCACAATGGAGAGTTGGAAAAATTCGTTGTTAAGCGGTACGGTCGTTAAGCGACCCACACATGACCTTCCTTGCAGCATCCCCATGGTCACATGATTTACGTTCGGACTGCTTGACAACCGACTCGCGCTTATGACGGTTGCGGTGTCCAGGAGTCACCGTGATCACCTTTTGTGAGTTTCGGACAAGCCAAGTTAACGGGAAAGCTCGATTCACTTAACAACCATGTTAGTAATTTAACAGCTGCAGGGATTCACTGAACAGAGTGGCGCAGTGGCCTAGAGGCGGAGCTCTCGCCTCACAATCAGGAGGCTGCGAGTTCAATCCTAGGTAGAGGCAGATATTTCTCCCTCTGGGCACAAGGAGATTATATCTGCCGAACGAAACTCCTCATTGGCAACAGGAAAGGCATCCGGCCATTAAACACTCTGGTAGCTCCATTCATTTGCCCAGACTCCACCCCGCAAGGGATGATGGGGTCATTAAATGAGGATGATGTGTGATTCACTTACCCAATGTGGCAAGAAAAGTTGTGCAAAATGGCGCAAAAACTCCCTTAATAAATGTCTCACTGAACAACATAAATTTTGGGCTCAACGGTGGTCATAAGCGGAGGACTTCCTGTATTCTGAGATTTCCCTCTCTTTAATTCCATGATTATGCTGCAACAAAAGTCATCCTCCCATGTTTTCACAGGCAAATAGACCTTGGTGGGCTGTTTTTAACATTATCCCAGAATATTGCTGAGTGGTACCTGATCACTGTAGGGTAGAGTTCTCCGGTGTATAAGAAGACACAGTTGAAAGATGCGCCTAGACATCCTTTCCCAAAGACAGCAAAGACGGTCCTCAGAATCTGCATATCTAGAGAAGATCAGAAAACCACTGGGTGTTGCTGTGACGTGACTTTGGTTTATTGGCGAAGGTGCCGGATCAGAAACTGGGAGGAGGCGAGTTCTAGTTCAGCACCCTAGTTATATTACTTAGTAGTTATATTACTTTGGAAAGTCCTATGGGTGAATCGGCGCATCCCATACAGCCAGAATATGTCTTCTTGATTTGGACACACATCCAGAAAAATATCATGCTGAATTTTAATCCTAGGTTAGCTGCCCAGAGTTACCGTCGCAACTACTTAACAGTTGAACAATAAACATTGGCTAAAATAAACCAGTGGTTTGAAAGAAATGCAGAATAACATCAGGTGTCCAACCTTGGTAACTTCAAAATTTGTGGATTCTGGGAGTTGAAGTTCACAAGTCTTAAAGTTGCCAAGGTTGGACACCCCTGATATTAACGGCTTTCAGGTTTTGGTTGTGCAAATGCATAAACAGACACTAGATGGCACCAAAACCCAGTTTTTCTCTGTCCCTTAGCTGCCCTCTGCTGGCCTTCAAGGGTGTTGCAAGCTTTCATATTTTTGCCAGAATTATCTTGTGATTTCAGGCTAAGAAGCTGTGTGTGAATCGCGCTGGGATATTTGCCGCAATAATTCCAGGCCATTTGCAGCCTTCAATGTTTGATTGATTCAGAAATAGTGATTAGAACTAAGCGCATATTATCAAAACCTCGCCAGGCAAGTACAGGCCGGCGACTCCTCCGCCTGTCCTACCTTACAGGGTTGTTGTGAAGATAAAACTCAACTGCAACATAATTTTGCTTTGCGGAAATAAAATTATTGGTCGGTCCGTTCCTGGAAACTTACCATGGGACACAAAGATGTTTCCCCCGATGGACAGCCCAGCTAAGATGAGGCTCAACGCCTGAGCGATCCGACGGCCGGAATAGGAGATCACAAGGAAAGCCACCAACTTTGCAGGAATGTCTACCGCACCGAATATCACCTGGATAAGGTAGACGCTGACGCCAAAATTCTGCAGGTCCATCGCCAGACCATAATAGGCAAAGCTGGTGGAGAACCTGGAGCGGCCAATGGATTAATGAAATTAAAATGCCTCTGGTGCTGATTAGTCCTGCTTTAGGCACGAAAGCCGGCTGGGTGACTTTGAACCGAGCACTAGGAGTTTGTGAATTCTAGTCCTGCCTTAGGGTTGAAAGCCAACTGGGTGACTTTGGGCTGAGCCCTAGGAGATTGTGAGTTCTAGTCCTGCCTAGGGATGAAAGCCAACTGATGACTTTGAGTTGAGCCCTAGGAGATTGTAAGTTCTAGTTCTGCCTAGAGATGAAAGCCACTGGGTGACTTTGGGCTGAGCCCTAGGAGATTGTAAGTTCTAGTCCTGCCTAGGGATGAAAGCCAACCGATGACTTTGAACTGAGCCCTAGGAGATTGTGAGTTCTAGTCCTGCCTAGAGATGAAAGCCACTTGATGACTTTGAACTGAGCACTAGGAGATGGTGAGTTCTAGTTGTGCCTTAGGCATGAAAGCCAGCTGGATGACTTTGGGCCAGCTTTTCCAGTCCAACCCACCTCACTGGGTTGTTGTTGTGGGGAAAATATTTCTCCTCTTCTCCTGAAATTGAAGCAAAGAGATCCAGCTTTTGAAATTCCCTGTAGGAAAGGAACTCTGTGAAAATTCTTACAGGCTGTCCTCGACTTACAAACTTTCCATTTATGGACCCCTTCAAAATCACAACAGCGCTGAAAAAAGTAGCTCGCAACCCATTCTCATCCTTATGACCTCGTGGGAATCAAAAAAGTTCGGGTCTTTTGGCAACCAGCACGAATGTACGACGATTGCAGCGTCCTGGAGTCACCGCCATCTGCAACCTTCCCAGCAAGCCCGGGGGAAGCCAGATTCACTTAATGACCATGTAATTCACTTAACAACGGTGGCGATTCACTTAACAACCAGGGCAAAAAAAAAAAAGTAAAATTGGGCTTAACACCTGCCTTGCTTAGCCACAGATATTCTGATCCCAATTGCAGTCCGTAAGTTGAGGACTATCAATATTCACAAAGCAAAGTGAAATTAAAACCTTTGTTTTGCTTTTGCCCTATTTCTCTTTTGGGGGGCATCTTCCTTCCTTCCGCTTGGCTTACCAGACGAAGCAAAGGCACACGGTGATTCGGCGCAGAGATGCCGTGCACACCAAATCAGCCACCGGGAACTTGGCGTTGTTTGAGGAATTATCCGTCTGGAGATTAGCTTTCAAAACCTGGGAAAAAACAGGCCAAAAAAAGAGAAAAGGCTGTTTTGAGCAGGGCAAAGATTCTTTGCCGGAATTTGCAAAGATTAAACAGTCGGTGGGCTAATTTTGATATAGGCTGCCTACTGCCGGGTGCTTGGAACTTCTGGCACGGAGAAAAGTGCAGCATTTCATAGCACAGATGCCTGTGTAACTCCTAATGCAGTGCTTCATCTAATGGGGAATTTCTTTTCTAGAACTGAAATGGAAGGGGAGGGAAGGGAAGGGGAGGGAAGGGGAGGGGAGGAAAGGAAGGAAAGGAAGGAAGGGGAGGGGAGGAAAGGAAGGAAAGGAAGAAAGGAAGGAAGGGGAGGGGAGGAAAGGAAGGGAAGAAGGGGAGGAAGGAAGGGAAGGGAAGGGGAGGAAAAGGAAGGGAGGGAAGAGAGGAAAGGAAGGGAAGGGAGGAAAGGAAGGGAAGGAAGGAAGGGAAGGGAAGGAAG